TTGTCTTGGCATGGTTTCAGCTGATTTTAACATTCATCTGATGGCAAAGTGACTATTGCTTCATATTTTTATGAGCTGAAGCTTTGTGAACATCAAGAATGGTAAAGGTCTGGGGGAGGCACTCCCTTGCAAGAAACAGCCCTCAATATCAGCTGAGCCTGGGGGAGGCAACTTTCAGACTTCAGCAGGGAACAAGTGATAAGAAGGCAAACTACAATAAGAAAATACGTAAATGTAACTCCAAGTGGACCCCAAGAGAGAAGAGGAAGAAACTCCCACACACTGTGAATATCATCCTGACAAAGGGAGGAGAGCTGAAGTTCAGACTCGACATTGCGAAGCATTTCTTTACTGAGATGGTAGTCAAACACTGGAACAAGCTTCCTAGAGAGGTGGTCGATGCCCCAAGCCTGTCCGTGTTTAAGAGGCTTTTGGACAATGCCCTTAACAACATGCTTTAACTTTTGGTCAGCCCTGAATTGGTCAGGCAGTTGGACTAGGTGATCATTGTAGGTCCCTTCCAACTGAAATAGTCTCTATTCTATTCTATTCTATTCTATTCTATTCTATTCTATTCTATTCTATTCTATTCTATTCTATTCTATTCTATTCTATTCTATTCTATTCTATTCTATTCTATCCTATTCTATTCTATTCTATCTTAAATAAGCTTTGAATAAATTTGTTATACAACTAAGAGAAGAGTGAGTAGAGAAAATAAACATGGGTAGTAATGGCTGCTGTGTTGACCCAACTGGATGTCGTCTTAGCTGAATGTTGTGTTACAGTGTACTATAGTAGATTTATAGGTAGCTTTCAGTTTTAATAATTCAGTATTTACTATTTACTAAGACACAGTGAACTTCTCTTGTGACCCTGGCTACCATGAAATGCATCATCTTACCAATGCACATTTTTTAAGTTTCACTGTGGTGCGTTTCACCTTTCTTCAGCTCTTTTGAAAATAAACTAGTGCCTAGACAGCCTTCAGCCATGGCAGCACACTTGTACCAAAAAAACTTCACAACGATGAGGTGTATCCTTTGCACTCAGTATTACCAAACGCTCTAAGGAGGCAACAGACTTCAGTTAACAGTGCTTTGTAGAGAAGGTTAAAGAGAAGGAAGCATCTCTGACTCTTTAGGCAGAAGAGAGAGAGCTTCAAATGGACTGATGTATTATACCCTTCCATCATAAGTCGGGAAGAGACAAGCAAAGAGCTGGAAGGGGAACCGCTGGGTGAGGCAGATTCTATCTGGGGAAGCTGTGCAAGTGTTTTAAGCTGTGTTCAACTGTTTTTCTTCCAACAGACTTTGGGAACTATCACTGCAGTGCCCATTAAGGTTCCTCAGGTCAGCTCCTTGCAGAGGTTGGCAGGACAAGGACCAGCAGTGCTACCTCAGGTACAAAATACAGTTCCAAAGGGGGTTTTGTGTCATTTTATATGTATTCTACTCTGTTTCTGTCTGGTGCCTAGACTGGGTAGGTCAGCGCACTCATTTTGCTGAATAAAGACTCACCTTCTGTGAGCTGAACAGTAGAGTTATTTTCTCCAATTCATGAAAAAAAAGATCAGTTTTATTCTGGGAGCATACTGTTAGAACAATGAAAAGCTATAAAAAATCTTGAAGATTCATTGTGGAAGAACAAAGTACATACGGTGAAATGTAAATTTATGCTTTATAAGATGAATTTCAAATCACAGAAATTAAAATCTGCAATTCTGTAATTAAAAAAAGTGGTAGAAATATTAACCTTTCTGTTCAAGATTTAGCCTCACATATTCTTTTACTAATTTACTTGCCTCATCCCTGTCTATCCCAGTATAAAGTTTTGCCCAGCTAACCCAGGTGCCAGACTGAGGCAAGATTGGCTGGGTAGGAGTGAAAGGAGAGTTACACTCACAGATTTTTAAAATCTTTTCAAACTGTGTTTTCTTTTCTGAATATCCATCACTGTTTCCCTAACCATACACTTTATTAACCATTTCAACCCTCTTTCTCAAAAGATGTCATTTTCAACCAGTGTTTTGTTGCAGTTCTCTGCTTTGCTTTTTGGATTCGTGATTATTAAGTATAAATATATGTCTCCCTGTGTGGCCCTTAGAGGTCTTTTCTAGCATTGAAGTCGATGTTGGGTCTTCCTATTGTTCCTTAATTTTTTTCCTAATATTTTCTTAGTGGCAGAATCTAGTAGAAGATCTGTGAGCTAAATCTGCCCGGAGGAAGGAGTATTTCCAAGATAAAGTTCTTAAATTCTCTCTTTAAATTACATTTTGTGGAAGGCAAAGTTGTGAACATAAAGGAAGGTTATAGTTTTCTTATCAAGTTCAAGACTTTGCTTTTCAGTTGTTCTTACAGCATAATAACACATTGATTTCTGCCATTTTGGGGTGTCAAAGATGAGCAGATTGCTCCTGAAAGTAGATGAGGTTCAAGAGCAGCTGAAAGACCTGTAGCAGGGGCTTAAATTATCATTAAGGTTATGTTTCAGCAATGATGATGGCATTGCAAATGCTGCACTTAAAGAAGCATCAATGTTCTACGCTTCTGTTAAGTAGAAAAATTTTCATTCAGTGTTAGATTCAAATTTGAAGAATTGGAAAAAGTGGAGGAAGCTGATTGCATCAACTTTTTGAAAAGAACACATATCCTTTCTGTCTTGCTGTTTAGCTCATGGCAATATTTTTGTTCGTATTTCACTTTGTTTCACTCCTTTCCTAGCACAGCCTTCAATTTCAGACCTGTTTATGCAATCATACTTAATACTAATGAAACACCAACCCTTCCTCAGCAGCCCTAAGCCATAGTTCACTAAATTTTCTATTTCATGTAGATAGCATGGGAAATAACCACATAGCAATCTCATTTTCGTCAAAACTGAAAATGAAGTAGGCGGCTGTATGTGAGACCTCATTATCAGAGGTATGTCCTATGTTCTGAGTTTTTTCTGGATTTTTCACAGGCCAATACCTCCTTCTTCAGCAACAGCCTGCCCCATTTACAGACTGTGTCCTCCTTTGCAGTTCATGATGGTCTATATGTTCCTCTCCCACTCAAAGCTTACAGTGAAATTTAAAATTTCCATATTGTTTCCTAGTGGGAAACTCCCTCCACCCATCAAAGCTTTCTGCTTGACGTCTTAAGAGAGATCAAGTTTTCATCTACAAGTGGAAAGTTTGGCTTCTAACTAAATAGTCAAATGCTTTCAAAATATATTTAATATAGCCGTAAATCAGAGTGATGTAAAGCTGTCATTCCCCAGATACAGCTGGATACAGGTGATCTGGGAGGCCACTGTAAGTGAGCTGCAGCACTGTATCACTGTGAAAGCTCTCCTTTGTAATAAGTGTAGGTGAGTGCATAGTCATCTCTGGCAAACTTTGAGGGTCGATAGGAATCTGTGGTCCAGGAGAGCTGGAATCTTCAGATGGAAATATAAAAATGCCAGGAAGCAAGGCCATGTAATACCACAAAAGGAAGGTATTATGGTAAAGGACATCCCTTCCCTCTTCTCCCTCATAGCTCTGAGAAAACAAGCACCAAATTAAAAATGATTTTGGAAATTAAGGGGCTTGTAGTATCTTCCAGTAGGAGCTGGAAAATGTGCAGAATTAAATCCTATCACAGTCCATGTCCTCTCAGCTGTTATGCATCAGACTTGGTTCCAGAGCAGGCTGGCTACTAACCCCCTTTTGTCCCCCCTGGGTGGCAGGCATGGCTCCTGTACCTTGCTCTGAGTTAGTGGCACAATCCTACCGTTCTAGGACTGACTTTCTGAGAGGCAGCTTTGCCACCGTCTCCCAAGAATACTAACAAGCAGGGCCCAGCTAAGTTTGGCATCTGCTAAAACCTTTACTTTGGGTGCCCGTGTAGCAGCAAATTAAAGGGACAGCTTTTTCAAAACAAAACAATATTCATCACTCCTCTACCAAGAAGTCCACAGTATTTCACACAAAGAATTAAAGCAGTACAATGTCTGTACTCATGCATGTTAGCTATAGTTGAATCTTGTTCTGCAAGGTATTGCACCTTCCCCGACCTCTGTCTCTGCGAAGTCCAGCTTTAACAGTGGATTGTGTAGAGCCCTAATAGCAATGAAACCATGGCAGCAAAGGCTTCAATAAGCCCACCTGCATGCCTGCCTATTTACTCAAGCAGCTAAGTCTAGGTGTAGTTTGTGCAAGTGCAGTGGCAGGCACAGTGGCAATCACCTAAGCTGTCTTAATCTTGTCTGTACGTGCTGCCGCCTCTCTTCTTGTCTATGGAGGGGTGGAAAGCCTGGATGGATCCCTTCTGGGATCCCTGCCATGTTAGGAGCCTACTTGTCTCCGAGTTGCCCTCTGGAAGTGGCTTCACTCTTAGCCAGACAGATTGCACTTTGGTTTCAGGTGCATGTAGATAAGTGGGATTAGTCCAGGTCAGTGTCTGCATTCTTGACCAGCACACCGATTGCTACCTGACATTTCTCCTTTTGGCCAGTCTCATCATTTCTTTGGGATTTCAGACTCCCTTGAGATTTAGATGTAGGCATGAGAGGCATAAACGTTGCCAGGCTGGCTGGAAAGAAACAGGGGACTCCTCCATTTAAGGGCCCCTCATCGCATCTAAAGGAGTTTTATATTTTTGATGCTTTCGTTCTCCTCATCTAGACATTTTTTGATTTACCTCTATGCAGTCAAGCAGGAAAATACCACACAAGTAAACTGAGGCACTTAACAATACTTATGGAAAATAATACATACAGCTTTCTCATTTTCCACATTTATACAGATACCTGTCATTTATTTTGTTCATTTGAATGGGTTTATGATATGACCTCCTGGGAGCTCTTCCATATGGGGAATGAAGTTTTAAAATCTGCACATTCAAAAAAGGCAGCAAAATCCCATCACTTAGTGCTGAACTGCTATTAAATGGTGAGCAAACAAACATTAATTACAAGTTCATTGCATAATACAAACAATATTTCTTTAGGCATTCATTATTTGCCAAAACAAGCCTCTTTGGCAGACCTTTTTTCTTTTCTTTTTTAAAATATTTTTTACAGAATATGAAGTTATTTTTGCTTTCATCAAATAAATAAAATTTCTGCTATGAGCTGTGATGTTTGGGAAGTTAATTCCAGATAGTCTTTCTCTTCTTACTTTGGCCTTTGATGTTTCCAGCTGGGTGAGATGTTTGGAAACTGCAGACTCTCCACTGCACTCTGAGAAGCAAATCCTGGAGGTCTTCTACTCAAACACATGGGTGATGCACTCTCTTACTCTTGAGCTGTTCCTCTGCTTTATGGCACCCATCAGCTGTAAGGAAGGGGTGGCCTTACGTCAGGTTGGGGCTCCAATTTCCAGCTGCAGTGCAGACAGTCTGTCTATTTTGAACTGGTTTACATAAAAATTTAAGTCACGCTGTACCCACCTGACAGCACGTGGGAAATCTTATTTTCTGTTCTTTGAATGGAAGATTTTAAATGAAACGGTGAAGATATTAAAACAAACCTCCCATTTTGTTGTCAGTAATTTGGGCTCAATCCAATTCTCATTCAAATTAATGGAGAGACTGTGATGATTTGACTAGCAGTTGAATCAGATTATAATGCTATTTCCCTGACCTATTTTTCCGGTCCTGGTTGAAGGCAGGGTTTGAGATGACTTTGCTCATGCCACTGCCGATTAGAGTAGAGCAGAGTCGCGTAGCAGACGCCTGCGGTGGAGCTATCGCGCAGGTGAGTGGTGAAAAGAAACAGGTACGCACAACCGCTTTAGATGAAACGTGCGTGTTTTTCAATCGACTCTGGACAGTTCTGCTGTCAAGTGCTGCTTATTTTTTATCTTCTGTAGTGATTTTAATATGCATAATTCGGTAGGGTCTGAATTCGGTCACTGGGCTGCAGGCTGCTTTGGGACGGGGGCTGTTTTGTTGCCGCGTGTTTGTTCATCACTGGGTACCATGTGAGCCCAGCCAGGGGCTGTGGTCTCCAGACGTTCCCAAAACTTAAACGCACGTTCTCATTTTTAAAATTCCTTGTCATAGTTCTCATGAGCACAGTTCCACTGATAGCTGCTGCTTCTCTTCACCTGTGTACCAAACCCAACCACTGCTCCTGGCTTCCCCGGTGATAGGGCTCCTGGAAGATTTCTTGAAAGGAAAACGACTCCTATAGGCAGAACCCAAGTTGTGTGATGCCACTGTGTACTGTAGAAGAAATGTATTAACAGACTGGTCTGTGGCAGTTCTCATGAGCACAGTTCCACTGATAGCTGCTGCTTCTCTTCACCTGTGTACCAAACCCAACCACTGCTCCTGGCTTCCCCGGTGATAGGGCTCCTGGAAGATTTCTTGAAAGGAAAACGACTCCTATAGGCAGAACCCAAGTTGTGTGATGCCACTGTGTACTGTAGAAG